TGAATTTTATAACAAGGTTCGTATTACTATTAATGTTTTCGCAACATCGCTAATGATGTAGCGCAGAGAAAAATGTTCGCAGATGTGTGACTAAGGCAGGGCCTGAGTGAAATCAACGTCTAAAGAATTGAAGCTAGAAGTTAAGTTCCACAGATCGGAGCGTTGGCACCATAACTGCTTCTAGGGAAACTTAGTTTAAGGAAATCGCAATGGCGGAGGATTCTAGAAGAAAAGGGCAGTCAATTGAGCCAGTTATGATGTTAACGACAAACGTGCACGCTAAAATGGGTCATCTGTCATCCAGTGTTGTAAGGTTGATTAGTTGGCAGCGGGAATAGTAAGAGGGTAGTGGCAAAGAAAAATTTTATAAAAACTTTTTGAACACGTTCTAATCGGTTAGATAGAATTTTAGTGTAAGGCCTCCAAATAAACGTTACATACTCCAGTTGTTTAGGCCTCCGGCCTAAATATAGCGCACCACCCTAATGGGTGGTAATATAGACCGTATGCACATACACGTATACATGTACATATGCATATGCGCGTGGATCTGTACAAATTAAAGTTATATTCACTAATACGCATACGCGTCTAATTTACCCGTTGTACAATAACTGATTTGAGGAGAAACTGAACGAAAAGTCATTGTTCGGCGGGTCAAACGGATCTAATTTCAATTTACCATGGTCACTTCCCTCAGGAATTCCAAAGGATCACCAGCTATCACGCCACATCAAGGTAAAATCCACCAGACAATATTGCGTTGTATTTTCACAACCTGTTGCCAATAAATTTGTAAGATTAATTATATACTCAACACTAAAACCGAGTTGTTTTTCTTCCCTTTTTTATTCCTTTACGTCTGAGCGCTCCATTCCGTGGCGTAAATATTGGTCCCTGCGATCTGTGGAAATAATAAAATCTTTAACACAGTGCAACAAACTACATACAGTCCACTACTTTATCACACTGAGCTACAAGAGGCACACCTAATTGCCAGACCACAGCATCGGTTGCAACAATCACTAACCAAGCTTTTCAAAACCACATTCGCCACTGAAGCGTCCACAACACTAAGGGCCGGTTACTCAATGTCTGGTTAACACTAATCTCCGTTTAAACATCATTATCGACGTGTTCGGCTCCATGCATATAACATGGAGTCGGTAACGTCGATAACGATGTTTTACCGGAGATTAGTGTTAACCAGACATTGAGTAACCGGCCCTAAGGAGTTAACCAGTACTTGCCATTGGACCCCACATTCAGCCATTAGAAAGGTACGTGGTTGAATTCCAGTGCACTTTTTATTATAAAAATTAACATATAAAAAAAAAAATAAAAAAATAAAAAACCGCGCGGGAAGTTGTGAAACACGAAAGAAAAGGGTAAAGTCATTGCATTTTTTCATTATACACATGAATACGAGCGGGAAGAAAGTCCATTTTAAATCACTCACAGTATTGTTAGTGTAAAATTGAGTTCGTCAACTTGAAGCACACACACTAATATAACTTCTTATAAATTCATAAGTGCAAAGCGCAGATTACTTATCGGCTTTCACAGTTTATTCTGTTGCTGACGGTTTTTTTTTCGAGATTTTTCCATTAATTTGGACTTCCCACAAATATCACTCAGTTTCAATACTGCAATCGATTTCCGTTGCAGTCACAATCAAACACTGACCCCCCTTTTCTTTCACTTCCACAATATTCACTTGCGCGTATTAAAGCACAAAACACCTCTGTTTTTAACCGCCAATTAAACTTGAAATATCGAGGCGGCTAAAAATAATTAAATATTCATACACTGTTTTTACTTTTCATCGAAAAGTTGGGAGGCAAGTGATTCCTCCTGTATATTTGCGCGATCACTGTATTCATATATATATATTCATATTCATATTGTAATTTTTATCTTACTTTGCACGTACATATTTACACAAATCCTTTGAGCGTTTTTTTAAACGAAAGTCAACATAAACATAAACTTGTACACACTATAATCCTTTGGCTGAAAATAAATAAAGTAGTTTTGATATAAATACGTACATGGATACCAAAAACTAATATCTTATTATTGGGATAGTGGTAATAATTTGCTGGCATGGTGAAAGATTTATTTTGGTGTGGCTATTCGGGTGAAAAAGTTCAAATAGTTTTTGAGCATTAAATTTCGTTAGACATACATTAAATCTGCGATCAGATTTCTATCTCTGTGTTTTCCGTGGTAATAATTCTCTAACCCAACAAATCTGCGGTCAGATTTTTATCAGTAGTACCACGAACTATACAACTTTTTACCTCAAATTTACCGGGCTCTAACATCCAAAAATGGAAACTTTCATTCGATTGGCAGATGCCATAACCGAATTTGAGAGTGACTACAACAGTACGCCATTCGAAGATCAGAATAAGCATGCACTTGCAATACAGCAAGAGGAGCTGAGAGCCATGTGGAGGAAAACAAAATCAGCCCATGAAGCCCTCATAAACACCGATTTGACAAGAGAGGATAGACTATCTGTAAAAGCCAAAAATAAGAGTAATTTTGGCTGCTATATGAAGTGCATGGCTGCAATAGCGTCTGATTTAGAAAAGTTAGCGAAAATTGAGAAAGAAAATGAAGATGTGTCTGTTCGGGAGCACAACATTCATCTGCCTCCCTGTGACACAGATATCTTTAAAGGGGATTATCTTTCATGGCCATCATTCAGAGATATGTTTACGGCCATCTACATTCTCAATAAGCGCCTTACCCCTGTTGAGAAACTATTCCATCTCAATCAGAAAACTCAAGGTGAAGCTAAAGAAATCGTGCGAAGGTGTCCTTTAACTAACGAAGGCTTTTCAACAGCCTGGAAAAATTTAAGCGACCGATACGAGAATAAACGTATTCTGGTCAATACGCAATTAAAAATTTTATTCAACTTAAACGCAGTTGAGAGCGATTGCGGTAGCTCTATTAAAAAACTGCAGCGGGACATAAATAATTGCATCTCGTCCCTTCGATGTCATCAGATTGACATTTCTAATTGGGATGCAATTATAACGTATTTATGCTCGACGAAACTGCCAGAATGCACACTGGCTCTGTGGGAACAAACCATAGAGAACAAAACAGAGATCTCAAAATGGGAAGATATGGATAAATTCTTATCCAATCGGTTTCAGACATTAGAAACCGTTTCAGGGCTCAAGGGCAACAAAACAGCTAAGACGCCTAAGCCCCAAAACACACGGCAAATGCCGGAAGCACCTCCAAAGAGACTTGGCGCCTTTCAAGCTAGTGTCGCCAAAAAATCGTGCACAATGTGTCAAAATAGCGAGCATAAGTTACGACACTGCGAAAGATTCCGCAAGTTAACCCCTTCCGACAGAATTGAGTACGTCAAGAGCAATAAACGTTGTTTGAATTGCTTGTCAGCCGGACATACGGTGACAAGGTGCACCAGTCCCTTCAATTGTAGCGCGTGCCATTCAAGGCATCATACGTTGCTCCACCTACAACAAGCAGTTCAGCCAAAAGCAACAGATCGTAAGGGAACTCCGAACCCCTCAGGTGACGGCGC